AGGGAACAGGAAGAAACATCCTTAGCTCCAAACATGGGTCCCAAGGTCAGTGGAAAAGCCGTTCTCTAACGCTTTTGTTTTGGGATTGGTTTACTTAAACCCCGTCTTGAATCAATATGGTTCCATTTGCTTTATATTAAGCCAAGTTTTGTTTCGAAAACGTTCTGATTCACCTTTAAAACTTGGCTTCCTTTTGCTTTAATGGCTCAAGCTTCTTCATTTTGACATTAAGTCAATCAAGAACATGAAGAGCTTAATCAAGAATGGTCCAAATTGCTTCCTCTTACTTGAAACTAAGCAAAAAACCATACCGTTCTTACCGTTTATATCAAAATAAATTCCGAATATACTCTATTTTCCTTCATTGATCCTAAACAAGCTTGAATACATAGCTATATATAGCAAGAACGGCTCAAAGATTGTTGTTTAGACACGAAAATAATCTGAATCGGCTGGTCTAATGAATACATAATCTCATCCTTCTTTTTTTGGTTTCTTCACAGACCAACGTAAAGAATCCGCAACCTGCAATCTAAGTTCATCTCTTTACTACGGTGGTCAAGACGTTTACTCTCGATCCACAAACAACCATACTTACCCTACCGTGAGTCGAAATCATATATCCGTGCTGCTAATCATTCATATTAAACACTTTAATCTTTGATTGTTTGGAAGTAAGAAAAATACATTAAACTTTGAAAAAAATGCTTAATCAATCAGGTTAACAAGACTCAGCCCAAAGAAGACGATGATGCTAATGGAAACAACTCGCTGGACGCATCCAGAGGAAACTGGTGGCAAGGCATATTCTCTAACATAACGATTTTTTCTTACCATCCAATTTCTTTCTTTGTTTACCTTCTAACATTTTTCCTCTCTCGCCATTTTCGCACAGGTTCGCTTTATTATTAGAGAATCTTTCTTTCCAAAGAATGAAGAGGATCAAGTTGAAGACAGAACGATTATGGTCCTATCTTCCTTTGTTGAATGACTTGTTGGAAAGAAACTGTATCAATGATGCTTTGTTAGTCTCTCTGTCTAATGTTTTAATCAAAGTTTAGATTTTTGTACTTCAAAACGTTTGAATATCATAAACTGAAGGAGAGAAACAAATCATCTCTGGCCATAAATCTAAGTGATTGAATCAGAAACTCAAATCTTGAAAGACAAGAAATATTGTCAGAGGTCCAAAAAGAAGGGTTAATAAATAAAAGCGTAGAGAACAAGAACGACATAGACTACAAGTGCAGAAGGAACAAGAACAACAAGAGGAACAATAGCTGCAAGTGCATGAAAGCTTCTCTTACATTCCAAAGGTCCAAGCTTTATCTGAACAAGATCCACTAACGCCATTGTCAAGGACCCACATCCCAAAACCGACCCGACACAAGAAGCCACGATACCAACTCTCAAAGCCGCCAAATTCACTCGCCCCATTCCCGCGTTTAACACACGCGCTTCCGCCAAAACGCTCTCGCTCGTTGTTGTTCTGATTGCTTGCTTGAGAGACATGGCGATGAGGCTGGAGAAAAGGAAGAAGCTGAAGGAGTAAACGTGGCTTGAGACTAGCCTCTCCGCTAATACGGTGCCTTTTGCGGCGATACATCGACGGAGATGTTGGTTTCCGGCGGCGGAGGAGGAAACCGGGAAGGTGATGTTTCCGCTAGTGGTGAGACCCAGGAAAAGAGCAAGCGAGAAGAGGGAATTAACGTTCACGATCCCGTCGAGAGCCGTGACGTGGATAAGCGTCGTTGGAAGGAGCCTTCGCCGGAGAAATTCCACGGCGCCACCGGAGATTGCCATCTAGCAGATTTGAATGGTTTCCTTCGCTATATAAAAGTAGTATACACTTTTGAGTTTTTGAGAGTAGTAGAAAATTTATTTATTACTTTGAAAAAAAAGTTGTATATGTTTTTGTTACGGAGAGAGTGTGAGAAAGTGTGTCGCGTCGAAGGTAAGGATTGCGTGACGTCTCCGGTGAGGAAAACAGGTGATGGGTAACGTGAACCCCAAGGTATTAGCCGAACCTTTTGATATAAAAGTGATATTATTATTTTATTTATGCGTAAAAAGAGGTCGTATATTTGTCTTTAGAACACTAGTGTCGTACAAAAATAATTACAGTAGAATAGAAAAAACAGTTACACAGAAGCGTGAATCTAAACACAAAAAAGAACAAAAACATCCGGCATAATTTTCTTACAAAAATAGTATATATTCATTTAAAATGACCAGTTTATAGGATTACAATATATTATTGGAACAGTAGGTAAACCTATGAAATTGTCCCATCACAAAATAAAAATAAAAACATGGAAGCATAAATTAATCAGTAGTTTCTCAAAACCCATAATTACGAAGCAACCAAGCAAAAAAAATAGCGATATACAACTTGAAAGGGACAAAGGAACACGAGGACAAAAATGGAAGACAACGTGAAAGCCGAGTAACACCAAAAACGCGATCAGAATCACTTTCATCCGGTAACCGCACAAAAGGGCTTTCAACGAAGAAGCCAACTAGTCAATCGAGACAGTGGTCCTCTACACCTTTGGCCCGAGACATGTCCTGCCAACCTTTGTAACAGGCTCTTAAGCGGGGGACTACGCTAGCCCATAAATCTTTGAATCATTCTATTACTCTACATAGACTAAATAAGCGACGACAAAGATCCTGGCTAATTTTTGTAAAGACAATTTGACTGCGGAGGAAAAGTCGAAAGGGTTAGGGCGAGCTTTCCAACCGGCATAATTGCATATTAAATTTAGAGATGAAGAAAGATAGATAGTGTACATGTCCATTGTAAGTAACAAGGGTGGTTTGATTTCTTTCATTAAAGATGGTTTGCATTTCTCATCTACGTAAATAATTTTTTCCTCCAAATTAAAATAAAAAGCAAAAGTCGAGACATATGCACAAGATCCTTAACGGAGGCGAACAGAGGCTGAATCGCCTTTAACTAATCATCCACAGTTTCAATCGAAACATTTATATGTTTTCTGCTCAGTTTCAAAACTTTCTAGTTCATCGGTCGTGAAACTCAACCACAATGGATTTTGACACCAAATGAACCAAGTCTTTCAAATCCGTTATATAGTATGTGTACATAAATGATTATGTCGATGTCGTATCAAACAATTTATAGATAGCCTAAATTAAAATATGTAGTTCCGATTGAAGGGATGGTATCCAACATCGAGATTTGTTTATTTCCCAGAGTATGTATAATCCCACCTTTTAGCTGTAAGCCTGTAGTATATATATATATCCATCAATGGTATAGTATCACTCTTTCAAGAGCTATCAATATAACTACTTAAGGTGGGAAGAACCATCAATATAACTATTTAAGGTGGGAAGAATTCCATCATTAACCATGAAAAAAAAAAGAGAATTCCATTAACGAGTTGCAAATTGCAACCATGTTTTCTAACCATTGGTTACTAGGTCAGTCTCTTTTGTTTTTTTTTTGTCATCTAATGGTATATTATAGTGAAAGAGTACACAATCCACACGAGTT